ACCCCTTATTGAAACCATGAGAGTAGGTCTATTCTAAAGAATGTCTAAAAACAGAGGAGAGTTGTCATCTTGAGTCGCCACCAAATCTCTGGGTCTCAGCCACCTTAAATACCAATGTTATGCCAGATGGCCATTTTACACCAAGCAAGAATCAAATTGCCAGCTCTTATAACTCAATAATAAAAAAAATAAATAACCCAATTAAAAATGGGCAAGCATCAGAATAGACATTTTTCCAAAGAAGATCTACAAATCACCAATAAACACATGAAAAGATTATCATTATTGGTATGGAAATGCAAATCAAACCCACAATGAGATACCACCTCACTCCCACTACTAGAGTAGCTATAATTAAAAACAAAACTTGACAGAACAAGTATTGGTGGGGATGTAGAGAAATTGGAAGCCTCATACACTAGCGGTGGCAGTGTAAAATGTAAAATGAATGCAGGCACTGTGGAAAACAGTTTGGCAGTTCCTCAAAAAGTTAACTATAAGAGTCTGGGGAAGGGGTGGCGGCGCCATGTCCCGCTGCAAAGGTGGCAAGAAAAAGCCCCTGAAACAGCCCAAGAAGCAGGCCAAGGAGATGGACAAGGAAGATAGAGTTCAAGCAGAAACAAAAAGAGGAGCAGAAGAAACTTGAGGAGCTAAAAGCGAGGCATCAGGGAAGGGCCCCCTGGACACAGGTAGAATTAAGAAATTTGGCAAAAAGTAAGGTGTTCCTTGTGCTTCAGGAGATGGTGACCCTTGATTGCTATTTAAAATCTGTATTCCCTGCCATAACATCTTCTACCACCTATACAGCTAAAATGAAGTGTTGTCGTGGAGCCTATTGTACATTTAAGAATAATCTTTTGTAAAAAAAAAAAAAAAAACCATACAGTGGCTCATTATCTCTTTAGCTGTTTTCACTCAGCCATTCCTACTTTAGCTGTGAATTAAAGTAAAAGCAGCCCAGATTCCTGCCAGAGTCTGCTCTTTGGTCTTTGTTCTACCCTAAATTCTGTATCACCTGGAATTAAGCCAACTCATTTGAAAAAAAAAAAAAAGTTAACTATGGAGTAACCATACACCTCAGCAATTCCATTCCTAGGTATATACCCAAGAGAATTTAAAACATATGTTCATACAAGAACTTATCCATGAATGATTATAGCAGCATTATTCATAATAGCTAAAAAATGGAAACTATCCCAATGTCTATCAAATGGTGAATGGATAAATAAAATGTGATATATCCATAAAATGGAATTTGACAATAAAAAGGAAGGAGATATTAGTACATTCTACAACATGGAAGAATCTTGAAAACATACTAAGGAAGCCAGATACAAAAGACTACACATTGCATGATTCCATTCATATGACATGTCCAGAAGAGGCAAATCTACAGAGACAGAAAGTAGACTTGTGATTGCCTAAGACTGGGAGGCTTGTGGGAAGAGGGGAGGAGGGAGGATGAATGGAGTAAGGGGTTTTGTTGGTGTGATGAGACTGTTCTAAAATTGCGGTGATGGTCGCACAAGTCTGTGACTAAAAAACCATTCGAATTATACACTTTAAATGAGGGAATTGCATGGTATGTAAGTTATATCTTAATAAAGCTATTTTTTAAAAAATCAGACAGCCCTCTACAAGTATCAAAGTGCCTCATCAGCCAGGTCACCATCCTTTTTATTTTGATGGATGGAGACCGAAGTGCAGAGGGATCAGGTATCCAACTTCCAAGTTTGTGCTCTTCTACACCCACTATATACTCTTGGCTAATGGCAGAATTAACCTCCCCTCCTTGTAACACCACTGTAGTTGTACATGCCTCTAGCATTTAAAATCATAATTTGTAATTATGTGTTTAACAATTCTTCCATATTAGACCACTCATTTCTTCAGAATATTGTGTCTGATTCCTGTGTATCAGGATCTGATTTTTAAAAATGAAGATTTACTCAGGAAAAAAGATCTACAACTGACGCTAAATAAATACATAGTAACCCAGTGTACTGATATTTACCTCTCCAACCAAGGAAAAGCACAAAATGAGACACAAATAAAGCACAGAAGGGAATAAAGGATGGGAGAAACCGGGCATCTCCTCCCACCCCTTCCCTCCTCTAGACGGTTTCTCTGGAAAGTTCCAGAAGGGAATCAGGCATGGCTGGTGACGTCACTGTGCCCCGTGGCGCCCCCCACAGAGGCCACCCGATACCCTAGTTTTCCCGCCTCTCAGAAGCCGGAAGACCACGATGCGGCCGCGCGAGGAGCGGGGCTTACGTCACGTCCGGTTCGGCCCGCGCCACTGCTGGAGAGGGAAGGCAGAGCGAGTAGGGGGCGGGGCCGAGAATGCGCGCGTTCTAGGCGGGGGAGGAGCCACGCTGAAAGCGCCGCGTCACGTCCGGTAGAGTTAGAGCCCGTGCAGAGGCGGCGCGAAGCGCTTCGGTTCTGAGCGGCTCGGAAACCCGTGCGTCGTGTGAGGCTGCGGCGGAGCCTCTTTAAAGAAGGCGCAAGAGGTTGGCAGCTTCAACTGAAGCACATCGAGCGACGACAGCAGCCAGGAGTCATGAGCGACAGCGGCGAACAGAACTACGGCGAGCGGGTACGTAGAAGTGGCGTAGGGGGCGGCTGTGTGGTCCCAGCTTCTTGTATCTCTTTGAGGCTCATCGGCCTTGGGTCGGGAGGCAGGGACATTTTAGGCCCGAAGTCCGAAGCCAGGAGGGAGGGGAGACAGGGTTTTGAAAGCCCTTGTGGGTAATGTCGTTAGTCGTGAAGGAGGCCATCGGCAGGTTTATGTGCCTTCGTGCCCGAGATGGCCGTTTTTTCCGTTATAAGTAGGGGACAGAAAATTAAAAATGGCCGCTGCGTACCCTCGGTGTTGGGGGAGGGGAGCGGTATCTTATTTCGCCGTTGCTCTCCTGCGAAGGTCCGCCGCAGCCATCTTGGGCTGGCGGTCTGGGCGCGCTGCCAAAGGCACAAAATGGCGGAGGAGCCCCGCGTTAGCGCGGGCTCGACCCGTCGGGTGCCGCGCCTCACTAGGCCGCATGGTGGGGTGGGAAAAAAAGACGACGTTTTCGGGGGTTTTTCGCCCGGTTTTTAGGTTAACGAAGGACCGCCTTATCGGCCTTGGAAAGGCCAGAATCTAGGGTGTCTTGGGGCCTCTTGACATGGAAACTTACATGAGGTAGTCTAAAGTTCTGGGCCCGTTAGTTGGAGGGCGTTGCGCGAGGGTTTGCGTTTTGCCTAGGTGGAGTGTTTTTGTCTGATACTGGAAGTTGTCCAGCCAAAAATCGTTATCGGAGTGTCCTATTAGAATAGACCACAGAGGTCGCTAAGATTATCGTGGAGCTGTTTTTCCACGGGAACGTGAGGGAGAAATTGGCGGGCAACAATTTATGGCGCCGTTATTTCCTTTGTTTTGAGAACTACAAAGTGTGTTGGTACTTTTTTGTAAGTTTCCACCTCTTAAAGGTGGAGTGCGGGGAGGGTTGATTAAATTTAGAGAGTAAGATAGTTTCTAGGCTTAAAAAACAGCATAGCTTGCCTCTGGGGCCCTGGGTATTAGGGTTGGAGAGCATCGGATGAAGACGCAGAAATAGAAGGCTTGCTAGAACCTTATGTATTGGCGGCGAAGGGGAATTTGTTAGGAGAAGGGTGATAAAATCAATTTTTGAAGCTGTTACATAAGTAAGGTTTAGTGTTTTGCAATTCGTTAAGTTTCCCCTGTGCTGGTATAGCCGTCTTAAGATCTGAATACTCTGTCTAGTAAATTAGGCTGTCAAACTTGAATAAAAAAGATTTTAGGTGATTTATTAGAAAGGGTATTTTTAGAAAGAAACTTCCTCTCGGCTCCTGGCACCTTAGTGAGCTTACTGTGTAATTTTGGAACCAAAACTGATTTGAACTAATCAAGCTCTACGTTTGCATATTCAGATCAATATTTGGGTTTTGATTTTGACGTTTTTCCATAGATTGATAGACTCCAATGTCGCCAGTGAGCGCGATTATTTTTTAAGGTCTTGTTTTCTAAGGATAAAGTTTGACTTGAGCTCACAAGTTGAAGTTGTGACTTTTGATTGCTGGCAGTTGAATAGACTGTTGAAACTACTCGTTGGTGTTGGGACTGGGAAGCAAATAATTTTAAGATCTTTCGTTATTAAACAGACCAATTATTGGGTACCTTTGCACTCTTTAGGGAATACAAAATGTTTTCTGACTAGAGGACCTCAGTTGAATGCACATGAAGAAGCTACACATGGCATCCTTCGGAAAGTGGAAAATTGCCCAAAGAAGAATTAACTCTAGTATATTTTACATGAGGAAGGAAACAAAGGAAGTAGGTCTCAGTTTGAGACACACAGCTCAAGGGAAATTTGAAATTTTTGAATTGATTCTGTTTTCTTTATACTAGTAAAAAATACACTTAAGTGTTTCTCACAGTCCTTGATATTTGCTCAATTGTGAAAGGAGAGAAAGTTAACTTGTGTGTTAAAAATCAGTGTTTTTCTTACATAAGAGTGTTCGCTTTCTGGAGGAGATTTTTAAACTTTGATGTTGTGAAATACTTCCACGTTGTTTTTTGTGTGTTTGCATTCCTATTGGAACCTTTAAGTGATTGCAATACACCTAAAACAAACATGTATCAAGACTCCCAAAGAAAGCTTGGCAAAAGCGTAAGGCTGAATGGAACAGTCTAAAAATTATTCAAGGAAGAAAGGTAATAACAAATCTCTTCAAATCTGCTGGAACCTTCCACGTTTTGTTTATCTATCTCTAATCCAGACACTTTCACACCCTGGCAGCCCCACCTCCCTAGTAACTCTAGGTGAGTTTTTTTCTGCCTACTACTTTAGACTTTAGAAGTAGTTCTTTTCCTAAACAGTAAGGTTGGGTGTGCGGAATAAATTATCTTCAATTTGGTTGCTAATAAGAGTACAGTATTTTATAAGAACTTCAGTAGAGTTGGTAGCAGTTTTAGATGTGCTGGGTAATATTGGGGATAATTAATCTTTAAATCCTATAATGGTCACAGTATGTTAGGTGTGTGAGGTCTGTATGTTGTCTGGTCATGCACTCAATTTATTGTTCTGTCCTTGCTGTTGTAATTACTTCGTACAAATGAGTCTTTACCTAAAGAATCCAGAAACTAAGGAAACACTATTGTATGGACCAGATGTTTTTAATTTCTGTCACTCTATCAAGATTACAATAGCAAGCAGTTTAAATATGCTTTGACTCAGCAGATAACCTGATAGAATGGTAGCTGTTATTTTTGTAGAAGCAATGTGTTTGCAACATAGGCACATTATCTTTAGTCTTGTTCTCTATAGAGGTGAATAGCACCTGGACACCATCCAATCAGAATGCCTTTCAAAATCTGCGGTTTTTCTCTTCTTCTGCTTAATCTTGAAATGTCTTTTTGTATTCTTTGTTTTTAGCCCCTAACTCTAAATTCTAATTTTCAGAACAAACATCTCTGAATCTATTTCTTTCTACAGAATTGTAGCCATCACACCAAATTCCTTTAACAAAGGATTGAATTAATGTCAAGTGGGAGGAAACTGTTTTGTGTCATTGTGAGTCTGGTTAGGTTATTAGTCTTTCGAAACCAGGTTGAAATATTTTTTTTCTTGGTCTTAAGAGTGCTTTAATATTGTGGATGTTGTCTGGAGCTAGAAGGTGGCATTTTCAGACTGAAATTACAAGTGATTTTACAAGGTAAGTACTACAGGTTTTGTCAAAGGATTGAAGAGGAATTCAGCTGGTGAGAGAAGTGTTAATGGGATTTGCTTTGTAAGCCTTTTTACTCTTCTTTCTCTTCAATAAAACCCCAAACCTAAGTGGTATACGATAATGCTTTCATAGTTAATGTTTTGCCCAAGACAAGGCCAGACGTACACATCTCTTGAGCCTTAGCATTATGTTTTGTTATGTTAATCAGTGTTTATATATGCTTAATTGTATTTTCTTTAAAAGATATGATTGATTAGGAATTTTAAGTGTTTTTACCCAGGTTAGTACTTTTGGGGTATGGGTCACATAGAAATAGGTATTGTCATCATTTACTGTTTTTAAGCTGCAAGCCAAAAAAAATTCTTCACCATAGCAAATTATAAGTCTTCAAATTCCCCAAACTCTTTGCTTTGAATTGGGTTTTGAGGGTTATTTTCAGATTACTTTTATCAACATGGATTGTCATGTATGACAATGTGGATGGGGCCTTTTTGCATTAATTTTTGTGCTCTGCTGTTAGATTAAAAGACAGTCTCTGAAATGTCAGAGCATACTCATGTTTGCTTTTGCTGGAAAGTACTGTTTTATGAACGTGAATGTGAGGGTTTGTGCTGTTTTTGCAAGAGATTTCTTAAAAGCACAGACATGTCAGATGGTTTTTTGTTTTTTTTTTTTTTCCCAGAGACTATTCTTAGTTTGAGGATTTTTCTATCCTCCACCCTTCTTCTGGTAGACAATTTGGCTGCAGGAAAAATTAAAATAGACCTTAATATGTTGATAAGAGCATTCATTGACCTTCCTGTAACAGGATAAACAAGTTTTTCTTTGCCCCTTTCTCTCCCATTTTTTAGACTATTGCCTGTCAACTTAATGAGTTCATGCATGTTTCATGTTAAATGGATTCCTGTTGTATCCCTTAGAAACATTTAACAAAAATTGTGTTCATGATGGGACAAGTTTCTGTTTATTTCTAACTAGGGTCTCTTAACCAAATGTACATAATAACGTTAGCCCAATACTTGGTCTTCTGGTTTTATAAAGTGGCCACTTGAAATTAGCTGCTGAGGTGGAATAAACGTAATATTTATATATTATCTAGTAGTGGTTTTGTTCTTAGAATGTAAGAGAAGAAGTTGGGAAGGGGTAGTGAAATAACAGCAGAAAGGTGTCCATATTGAAGATGGTAGTGATAGAGCTTTGGCCTCTGTTCCAGTATCTTCTGCATCTAAGCCCTGTATCTGTACACTATCTTTAGGAGGCCCTAAGGAAACCTGCTTGGGCATTCTGATTCCACGATTACATTTGTGCTGCCAGCAAACATTTCCCATTACATTTTAGTGATGGATATTAAAAGAAAACCAATTACTGTAGCTCCCTTAAATAGCTGTTTAAAATATTTTTCTTGGATTAAATAAAATAAACAATAATTGACATTAAACTAGACTGGAAATTATGCTATTACTTAGAAAAGACATCACAACACTTGCCATGGTTTTTAATGCCCAGATAGGTACAAAGATGTCTCTCATGACTTTTTTTAAGAAAGAAAGCTATAATTTTTTTCAGAATGAAAGTAAAACTAGGAGAGGAAATGATTGACAGCTAAATAAGATTCAAAGGTGAAATGCAGGATAACAAGGAAAACTAGAATGTTTTATAAAGGCAGTATTTTGTTTAACGTGTTCAACAGACACTATTATACTTTGCTGATCTGCTAAATTGAGTCTTTTTAATAATTATTTGAGGAGGTGAGCTATAATATTCTAATATTGCCACCTTTAAAGTAGGATATCTCCTTTGGACGTCCAGAAGACATTAATATTTTGTTCATTGAGGGAAAAACATACAGCAAAATTCTTTGAAAATACCACTGTTGGATTCAAGTTTGTTCTGCTTTCCTTCATAGCAACTGGCATGTAGTAGGTGGTTGACTTGATTTTGTCTTTTTATGATTTTAATTCTAAATTTAGTAATTGGACCATTCATACTATAAAATCTCACTAGAGCAGCATTCCCAGGGGTGGGTTGAACACTGCAGTTCCAAATTGTCAGATTCTCTGACACTGCCTTTATACAAAGCTCTAATACAGTACAAAAATGTGTGACATTAAATAAGTTTCTTTATCCTATTTAGACAAGTCACAGTATTGTAAACCTCTTAAACCCTGAGCCTTTGTCATCATCATACAAATGAGTTGTCCGTGCTTTCCTTTCTTGCACTTATGTATTAATGTGTCACTTTTTGATAGAGATGTGCTTTTGACACTTAACATATTTTCTATTGATGAATACAATAAGTAAGAAGTGTGAAATGTAATTATAGTTCTTAAAATGTTAAATGAACAGTAAATGTTCAGAGGCGCACTTCACATTCATCTTAAGCATGATAAATCTATTTGGAGTAGACAAATGAGATTGATTACCATATACTAGAACCAACAGAAAACTGTAGTTTCAGTTTTTTGAGCTGCATATTCTAGTTTCTTTTTTTTTAATCCAAATCAACAAAGGGATTTTTTTTTCTAGTTTCAGTTTTGGCACTGGATTTTATCCTGGAGTTTTAAAATATTCTTCATCCTGTTCTTTTTCTATTAAGGTTAATGTTGAAGAAGGAAAATGCGGAAGTCGTCATTTGACAAGTTTTATAAATGAGTATTTGAAGCTCAGGAATAAGTGAAGCTGAAATTTGAAAAAATAAAAGAAAGAATGCATGCTAATTATCAGACCAGAAGTCCCACTTGTAGAATATTGAGCAATTTGTGTGAAGTGGGGAAGATGAAAGAAGTCAGAATTTGAAACGGAAGAATGAAGAAAAGAAATAAAAATGAAGTTAAGATAAGAAGTAATCTGGAATCAGAAAGCACTACGCTAAGTAATTACTAGTCTGTTTATGTGTCCCTGTATATTTTGCTAAACATGCATGCATTATTTGTTTAATAGAAGAAAATATATACAGGGTAAAGAAGTGCCTTCCAGGGGAAACGTTTAAATTAGGTAATTCTAATTTTAACTGCTTAGTCAAATGATTGAATGCAATTTAAAAAAAAAATAACCCTCTGTAGTCAAATACCAGGCAGCAGTGAGGTCTCCAGCATGGGTAATAGTTGGCTTCATGTTGTCCCCTCTAGATAGATTTTTTGTCTATCTAATTCTGCTGGTCCTGGGGCTTGAGTACCTCCAGAGTTGGAACTGGTGGTCTGTGCCACCTTCCTGGACTCTTAGAATCCACTGACCCCTCTCCTTCAGTACTATGCTTCAGTATACTGCAGAGTGTTTTGTTTGTTGAAGTTTTCCGAAAGAATGTCTGCTAGGATGGTTATAGAACCAACCCCTCAGAATCCAAGCAAAGCTTTGAACAGGACAGTTCTTTTGGCATTAAAGCCTTAGGTTTTTCCAAATGGGAGGAGTGGAAATCTGTGACCATTTAGACCCTTTGAAGGTGCGTATTTGCTAAATACACAGGGATGATTCTTCAAATTATGTTTGTTTGCCGCCTATTCCAACTGAATGAGTAGGATTAGTGCTAAAAATACAGTAGTTTCCCCTAGAAGTGGGTCACACAGGTGAACAGGATAGCTAATTCAAAGTGCAATAATAGCAGGGTGCTTTTATTCCCTTTTCTGCTATCAGCATTTCGTTAATATAATGATGTTAGAGATATGGATTATAAATAAAGTAGCTTTACTCTGGTTCCCTGCTCCTACTACTTAGAAAATCACATCAGATGTTTTGTCTTTTCCTTTTCTGTGTGTTTTGTTTTAGCTGACGAGGAGAGTCAGATGATCGGTGTAATGTTGTTACCCTCAGTTGAATGGGACAGGTACACAAATCAAAATAATAACCAGTAGTAGCCAACTAACAGTTTTCTACAATTGAGAATGCCAAGGGTATCATCTCGCACATTTCTTCCTGTGATGAAGGCAACTTAAAAACTTTCTCTGAGAGTTGTCAGGTCTTTAAGCTCTTAGAGAAAGTGACTTAGATGACATTTCTTAAAGGATCCATTTTCTGGTGGTTTAGGGCCTGTTGTCACAGTGTGAAATTTGTGCTTTTTATATTTAATTATTTCTATGTCTTGCAAACAGAAGAAAACTATTTACATTTACAGGAGGCAGTTTTTGCATTTACTTTCTCCATTTGTTGCTTGTAAAATTTCTTGTCGTGGATAAACTAATGATAACATTAACCTTAATTTTGCATTCTGAATTGCTCAAAGAACAGGCAGCTGGCTGAGGTATATGAAGGAATATTTTTATTCAAGTCCATGGATTCTTTTATCAAGGAACCTGAGAGATCCTTGGGGTCCAAAAGAGAAGGATCTGTTAGCCCCTCAAGGGAAAAAACGCAATTTGGAATCTGGTTACATGGCTCAAGCTGGGTAGATGTAAGGTTAAAATGTTGATGGATGCTAGTAGACCATCTCATCCATTCATTTTTGTTTTCTCCCTTAGCCAGAGCATCTTTGGGTTTAGGGTGTTTCTTCCCCCAGGCTGTTGGGAAGATGGGGGCAAACCTGCCTCTTTGTATTCCTGGAACTGGCAGCTATAGGGAAGATTGCATTAATCAGTAGGGCTGATTGATGCTAGGGTCAGGCAAAGCAGGGAAGGAGATGCCTTTGGGAAGGGAAAAGATCAGATAGGTAGGAAGCATATTACTTCTGAAGTTGACTACCTCAATGAGACTTAACTAGCGTTATAAATGCATACAGTGTTTTTGAGGGGTGTAGATGCCCAACTCCAGGCCATATTGTAATCCGTTTTAAAGACTCCAGTTTCAGACCCTATATTTGAAATGTCATAGAGGTTTAGTGAATACCTCTGTTTATGAGCCAGTGTTCTAAATCTAATATATACTGCATCCAGTTTTTAAAAGTAATACAGGGATTAGATGGCTATTCCTTCTTCTGTCACCTCTTTCAAAATAAATTTTTTTAAGACTTGCTGTTCTCAGAATAGAGAAGTATAGGTTAAAGTATTTTGTTGGAAGGCTATTTGTGTTTTATTACCTGATGTGTTCCCTGCAGGTTGTGTATTAGTATATGACTGAGATCCAATCTATAAGAATTTAAATCACTGAGCATTTTCCAGGGAATTTTTGGCTTTATTTTATTTGTGCTCCTTTTAAGTTCGTGATCCCTTTCCTTGAAGCATTGGTGTACAGAGTATTTCTTTTGGTGAAGTTTTAAATCTGTATTGACACCTGTAGTTTTGTCAGTCTTGAAGGTGGAATTTGAAGTATCCTTAAGTATAGGGGCTTTTCTAACTTGTTTTACAGATTTGCCCGTGTATTGAGGTTTAAAGTTAATGTTATGCTTTAGATTGGGCTAATCGTTTTAGGTCTCCTTTCTTGTAGACAAGCTAAGTTTCTTCACATATATTTGCCCAAGTTAAATGGCCATTGTAACTAGAAGAGTTTAACTTTCTTAAAAAGGATCCCTGACAAGAAAGATAGTGGAGGTGTTTAGCTGTTAGCCCAAGGAAGTGTCAGTGTAGAAGGTGAAGTCTTTACATTCTGGTATCTCCCTTATTCCTGGTCTAAAATGATTGTTCACAAATACATCTACATAGCCTGCTAGTTTTGGAGGCTAAGTGAAAACTCTTGTGATTTCACAAATATTGTATCTTTGACCCTTGATCTGTTAGAATATCATGAGCAAACCTCATTAAGGCTTATTTCCTAAGCTGAGAATACTGTCTCTTCCCTCTTAGTAGACAGGCTGGTGAAGCATCTCAAGCTTTGGAATAAGGCTTTTCTGTTAAAGCAAGAGGCTTAAAGAGGATCTTTTCTTTCTGCCCATTCTTTCTTTATATTCAGATTCCTAGGCCGACTGATGTCTCTTAATTATGAATACTTTATTGGTTATCTTTTAACTGTTACTATGAGGTATCCATATTCTGCTCTCACTTCCTGAGCAAATTGTTTTATTTGGTTTCCATTAAAAGTTACATGATTCCATGAAATAATCTTTTGCTAGCATTGGGGTAAACAAAGGCATTTACTAGCTTTTGGGTTCCCTGTTTTTATCTTCTCTACCGGATTAGTTTTTGTCCATGGTAAAAATGGCAGAAACCACACCCTCATTTTTGAGACCTTCTTTGTCCAAGGTGAGGAGGGCGTAAATTGTGCTTCTAAATGTCTCACTTGTAAGAATATTTGGTAGAAAAATCCAGTGGATTGTTAATTGGGGTCTCCAGGGCAGCGGTGCATCATTGAAACATTTCTTGGTGTTAAAGGCAGCTGTTCTCAATAATGAAGGGGGGGAGGTTTACCATCTTTTTCTTTTAATCTGTTCACAGTGACTCATGGGTGGGGCTTGGGTAGAGGGAAAAGGCTGTCACATTTCATGTCACCTCACCATGTTTTATAATGGCTTTGAGGTCGTTTTCCAGAGTTGTTTGAGGCCTAAAGACCAGAACTTAGTTTACTGGGTGAGTCAGTCTTTCCTTCTCCGTTACTTCAAACATTAATTTGTCTTTTCTGTGGTGTATATTTTTCTCCTGAGCATCATAGGAAGGATCTACCAGATTTTCTTCTTTTTGCTGTAAACCACAGAACTATGTTCTAAAATGTTTTGGGCTGAAATTTAAAATAATTCTGTATCTTACATCTTTTCAAGAATGGCCAGAATACTCTGAAGATCTACCACAAACAGTTCTCTTGTGATAACTTAATCTGGAAGCTTCAACTTTGATTCACACACCATACAGTGACTTATTGTAAGCTTTGTTTTGAGTCTTGCCATTTCTGTTCTCTGGTAGGAAGACTCACTAGACTTTAAAGCCTTTTATTTTGCCTAAGTTGGATAGCCTAAAATAAAAGTCTTACTTGGTATCTTAGTTAACTGTCAGAGTGGGTGAGTTCTTCTTTCCTCTTCATCCACTGTTTGGTACCTTAGCAGAACTTTTCCCTGGTTCTGTATTTATGTATGCCTTTTCTGCTGATTAATTGACTTTATATCTTTGGCTCATTAATGAACTAGTTAATCCTGTTGAGCCACTCCTTTCCTGTTTTCTTTAGAGATCTTTTTTGTGCCACTTTCTTACTGGCTAGTCCCAGTTTTGATTGGGAAAGCTGTATGGGAACATAGTACTCTTACCTACTAGTCTTTGGGTTTTGCTTACAGTCCCTGAACTACTCCTAGTTTACCCTGGCTAATCTCCATTTAGCTGAGGAAGCTGTGGATCTATGGCACCTTCTCTACTCTTAGTTCTCCATAGTTCACTGCCTTTCTGCTGTAGCTCCATCTGGTTGCTTTGAGTTTATTAGGGGCCTCCCTACCATGGTTAGATGGAATAGGGTTTTACAGGGTTTAGTGTCCTTCAAGCTGGTCCTGGCTTTTCAGTAGGTTTCTACTTTTCCTTAGAACTTGAAACTGAGATCATTGTGCTTGTCTGTTTTCCCACTCAAACAAATATAACTTGTGAAAAGTTAAGGTCTTATTTTTAAAAATCAAGCATTTTAAAATTAAGTTCTATGAGTTTTGTAGGGTTTTGTTTTATTGACTGCAACTTAATTGAAAATAGGTATAAAGTATAGGCGTCATAGTTAATAAGGTTCTTTCTCACCCCAGTGAATAATATTCCCGAAACAATCCTTGGACAGTTCCCTTAACTGCTTGACTTTGGCACCCCTTTCTGAAGGGAGTGGGGTCAGATAACTCTTATCCATGCTCCAAAAAGGTGGAAGAAAGGACAAGTTAATTGACTTATGTCAGTTGGAGCTGTGAAACTATTATACCAGGTATACTCAGTTCCTGCCCTTATCTATGTTTTCTTATCTTGGAAGGGGATTGCTCTCCCTCACCATTTATCTTACAGCAGCTTATTTGTTTTTAAAGTTTCCCAGAAAATATACAAATTAAACTTTTGACATCTACGTGTAGGAATCCCGTTCTGCTTCCAGAAGTGGAAGTGCTCACGGATCGGGGAAATCTGCAAGGCATACCCCTGCAAGGTCTCGCTCCAAGGAAGATTCCAGGCGTTCCAGATCAAAGTCCAGGTCCAGATCTGAATCTAGGTAAGAAAGACTCTTGAGATTTTCTTGTTACTCTTAGAAATTGGTGTGCGCTTTGTAAATCAGGAAGGTAGAGAGGGTTAGATCTTTTGTTGGCCTATTTAATATTGGTGCTAGAAATAAACTTAAGTTCTGGGAGACAGAAGACTATAATTGGTTAAGAGCCTGGGCACTTTAGTCAGGGTTCAAATCTTACCTCTGTTTTTGCTGGTTTGGGTGGATTGTACTTAACCTTTTCAACTTTAGCTTCCTTATCTATAAAAGGCAAGTTAGTAATAGTATCAGTTCTTCAGAGTTGTTGTGAGGATTCACTATGAGTGTAAGTAAACTGCTTCTTAGTATGGCATGTATACTGCAGGACATTGGCTTTCAATAACTAATTGATAAATAGATACATACATGGTGCTTTTTTTTCTTTTTTAATATTGGTCAGGAGTAGGCCATACATCCTGGTTTGCCTGGGACAATCCCAGTTTATGCCTGTTGTCAGGCATAATTAACAGCACCCCTTTTCTCAAACATGTCCTGGTTTAGTTGGTTTATGGTCATTCTAGTCAAGAGCCACTTACTGATTTTTTTTTTTTTGTTTAACTGCTGGGGGAACTACCTGTGATTGTGATTTTGTTATCGTGTTAAGCGCATGTTGTGTATAATGGGAGATGTAGAAAAATAGAGGATGGTCTTCTGAGGGGAAAGATGGGCACAAACCAAGCTAGTAAAGTGCTGCATGTTTTGCTTTTTAAAGATAAATATGTTAATTTTAATTTTTCTTTATCCTAATTTGAAGAAATGTTGAAGAGCTTGTGGTTTTGGAAAACTTCATAGCAAATTGAAATGACTATAGGTTAAAATTAGAAAGGGAAGGTATTGATCCCACTAAATTGGTAAGCATGTTAGCATATGCTTGGATTGTGTTCCTTCTTTGGGGATTTAACTCTAGAGTAATAAAGAATTCAAGACCGTATTTGTCAGTTATTTAGTCATAACCTTAAAGTCTTTGTTTTGCAGGTCTAGGTCCAGAAGAAGCTCTCGAAGGCATTATACCAGGTCACGATCTCGTTCCCGCTCCCATAGACGATCCCGGAGCAGGTCTTACAGTCGAGATTATCGCAGACGGCACAGCCACAGTCATTCTCCCATGTCTACTCGCAGGCGTCATGTTGGGAATCGGGTAAGAGGAAAAATGTTTTTGAAGCAAAGGATTTTAAGTTAGGACTGATTGTGACAATGGAGCTTTAGCAGGGAATACGTAACTAAAATTTTTAGAGGCATTTTAGTGTTTTGAAATTGTCTTTTTTTTAAGTTAATAAGTTAACTCTCCTATGATGGTCTACATTTGGGGTATGGGACCTTTAAGCACACCATTGTAACTAAGTCCATCAAGAAAAACACTCCACTTTCCATTACTTTTATAGTATTAGTACAACATAAATTTCACACTGATATTACTTGGTGTTTTCTGGGTTTCATAAACTTAATGGGATGCTCTCTTAACTTTGGTTTAATTTTAAGCTAATCTGGGGAGGTGTTAAGGCTTTTCGCATACGAGGTTCCAAATAAGACAATATTTACTGTATTTGTATTATGCAGTTTCATTGTATAATCCAAGTGCTTTTGTTGGGGCATGAGTTTCTGTTTTTAGGGTAGAATGGAATTTCCCTAATAAATTGTTAGTGTAAGAAATAAGTGGAACTTTGAGGTAAATTCATTATGTGGTGTTGGGAATGTCAGCCACAAGTGATTCATTCTTTTTTCTTGTAACGAATGCAAGCTGCTTTTAATACGTGTTAAGATGGTTCGATGCACTTCATTTATGTGCATATATGAACACTTCGTATGTTAGGTTTCTATGAAAATCAAACTACACATGCTCTTCCATCTTTCAGTCAATTCAGAGATTCTGTGTATGGATGGTATGTCTTAGTTTAACCTTAAAATTTTTTTGCCTAGCTGATAGATAGAGACGGTGGGATTCTGATTATCCTTGTGTGTGTATTTTGTCAGTATGTGTGGGTTTTTCTTAGAATAAATTCATAAGGAGGTGAATTCCTCATCCAAACTGCCTTCTAAATTTTCGAAAATAGATGGCAGGTTTGCTTTTCACCAGTGTGAATCCCTCTTTCCCCTGCTTAATTCTGAGGTTGAAATTACTCCTTTTGTGGTCTTTACTGCTCACTCTCAAAAATGCTTGTAAGTGTTTGCTGTAATGTTTTGTAATGTCTTTTATTAAAGTTATAAAGTTAGTGACATTTTTGGCTAGTGAGTGGTTCCCTTTTACTTTGATTTATGGTAAGTTTTCAGAGTTTGAAGTCCATTTTTTTATTTCTAGGCGAATCCTGATCCCAACTGTTGTCTTGGAGTATTTGGGTTGAGCTTGTACACCACAGAAAGAGATCTAAGAGAAGTGTTCTCTAAATATGGTCCCATTGCGGATGTGTCTATTGTATATGACCAGCAGTCTAGGCGTTCAAGAGGATTTGCCTTTGTATATTTTGAAAATGTAGATGATGCCAAGGAAGTAAGTAAAAGTTTACCTGTACCTTTGTAAAACACCAGTTTTATTTATCCAAGTATTAATGACCAAGTGCTTGGATAAGGGCAGTTTTGCTTTTATGGTATAAATAGAATATACACCTGTAGTTTGAGTTGAAAGAATAAATTCTTCCAGAACAAATAATTGAAATCGGTAATGCTTTGAACTTTTTTTCAACCATTTATTGTGGGAAATTTCAAATAAACACAGTAACAAAATTTTGTATGACCTAGGGCAATTGGTCCTACCACTCGGCTTCAGTAGTTAGAACCAACTGTGGTCAGCTATATTCCAATTCAGTCTTTTCCACCACATTTTGATGTTCTGACATAATCACTTGCTGTTTTGGTATATGTTTTTCTAATAGTTTGTATATAATGTATTTGGTATATATATATATATTGTTTCAATGTTTATAAACACCTAAGTTTTATGAAAACAGCATTCTCCAGTTTAGGGTTTCTAATCCTTGTTCACATTAAGCTATTTTCTACAATAGAAAGTAACCAGAAGCCGGGCGTGGTGGCTCACGCCTGTAATCCTAGCACTCTGGGAGGCCCAGGCAGGCGGATTGTTTGAGCTCAGGAGTTCGAAGCCAGCCTGAGCAAGAGCGAGATCTCGTCTCTACTAAAAATAGAAAGAAATTAATCGGACAACTAAAAATATATAGAAAAAATTAGCCGGGCATGGTGGCGCATGCCTGTAGTCCCAGCTACTCGGGAGGCTGAGGCAGGAGGATTGCTCGAGCCTGGGAGTTTGAGGTTGCTGTGAGCTAGGATGACGCCACGGCACTCTAGCCCGGGCAAAAAGAGTGAGACTCTGTCTCAAAAAAAAAAGAAGAAGAAAAAATAACCAGAAGCAACAAAGTTATGACTCAGGAGAGAAAAGGAACTGATTTTGAGTGTATATTGGCAAGTGAATGATTTCATATACGTATTTTTAATTTGACTTGAGGCAGGATATAGAAGGAGTAAAAAGTATATGAAGTGGATCCCATTTAAGAAATTCAGGCTTCGGGTGCATAGGGATGGTAGCTGAAGTCATCGCCAAGGAAGTGTAAGAAAAAGCTCTGATAAACATTTAATGCCAAGCCCCTCTGATGGTCTGTTTTGAGATTAGGAATTGAATTGAGCTCTAGGCAAAATCTTTTTATTTTCCGACTGTCTATATAGTAGAATCATTTTGTATACATAGTTGTCAAAAACTAATTTTTAAGCCATGCATGGTGGCACATGTGTGTAGTTCCAGCTACTCGGGAGGCCATGGTGAAAGGATCACTTGAGCCTGGGAGTCTGAATCCAGCTTGAGCAACATAGTGAGACCTCTGTCTCTAAAAAAATTTTTTTTTAATGTAAAGAGCTAATTTTAAAAGGAGTAACTTGATTTGCTAGTGGGAATACTAAAAGCCGAATGCAACTTACTATAATGGATGACTTTGTGGAATTTTAAGAGATTTGAAGGGACCTTTTAAGATGTTATTCAGCTTCATTTTTGAAAAATTTGAGATGCCAAAAGGTGTAGGTAGGATTGCGTAATTTAGTTTTGCTACAGAACCACAGTTAGCACTCTGAAAAATACCATAATTTTTATGTGAATCTGTAGTGTCAGAAACTAAGCCATAAACAGTAGCTCGAACATTCGAATTAGGAGATAGCATAACATTGGAATTAGAAATTTAAATTCTATCTAGGTGAAAGGGTGTTTCTTCAAATGAATTATGAACAAACTCCAATATGTTCAGAATTGGATATTATTTTAAGTGCATGCTGTTGCAGTTAGTATATATTCTGGATAAAAGAACTATATGTACTTCAGGCTTTTCTTCATCTTTTCGTCTTAGCTTTTAGTTTCCAGAGCAAGGCTGGACAAACTTTTCAAAGATTAAATAGTAAACATGTTAGGCTCTTTGAGTCATAGGATCTTGGTCACAACTATTCAAATCCAGCATTGTAACCCCAAAACAGTCATATGCAAAAGAATGAGTGGGGCAGTGTTCCACTGAAACATTTATAGGCATTGAAATTTGAATTTTTTGTAATTATCACTCGTCCTGAAACACTAGGGTTTTTCTCCCCCTAGCCATGTGTATTGTTAGCTTATGGATCATAGGCAACTGCCTAGATTTGGCCCACAGGTTATAATTTGTCGATAACGCTCTGCTTTAGAGCTGAAAACACTGTCAAATTTGAGGTTAGAGACAATAATTGTTTTTATGACTGGTTTTTACAAATGAATAATATTTAGTGGAGAGAACAACCCATTTATAAGTTGTGTAGACCTTATGATCTTGCGAACAATAAAATAACTTATGTTACACCTAACTGAAAGGTCAAGTTGGACATTATTCATAGCCATAGGATAATTAGTGGCTTTGTCCAGGATGTATATAACAGTTCATTTATCTTTTAAAGGCTAAAGAACGTGCCAATGGAATGGAGCTTGATGGTCGTAGGATCAGAGTTGATTTCTCTATAACAAAAAGACCACATACCCCAACACCAGGAATTTACATGGGGAGACCTACCTAGTAAGTTTATTTTCAATGTGAAAATGTGATTGACAGTTTACTTCCTCCAAGAAACATTGGTGTGGGGGGGTCTTTGGCATTTTATTTAATCCCTCCACCGTCTAAATCATTTTTCCTGTTTTTGAAGCTGGCTAAAAATTATTTCAGTGCAATATATACAAAAATATATGAAGTGGAAACATTTGTACCAAAAATTTTGCTTGATACCTTTAAATCATAAAGAAATCCCATAAATTTTGACTTTACTAGGTAACTAAATGTTTTAATTAGGGCATTTTTCCAATAATAGAAACTTAACCATTATCAATAATAAGTTTATGTAAATCTTAAAGTGCATTTTTTAGATTTTTTCGTGTGTGTGTGTGTTTTCAGTAGAATGGAGAACATGGGTTTCAGATAATGCACTGGTCCGTAAAAGAATAATACTTTGTCCTTTGTCATGACACTCACCAAGTGTGTACGTTATTGACAGAAAACCCTAAATTGAATTTTTTATATTTAAATAAAAAGCACTTATGTGTGGTAGAGATTTTTAATTATGTACCATGATTGCCGTGTTCTTTTTAATAAGCAGAACATTTTCCCACTCCTAAAACAGCATTCTCTGTATGCTTTCATTTTCCCTTCCTCTTGAAAATATTTAGGAAGCCTTCTTAATCCAAAGATTTTTTTTTTTTTAAACACATAGTTATACTTTGTAACAGGGGAGAGAAAAGGCAGTATTTGTGCAGTATCAGTGAGAATTGTAATAGAAATAACACTTATTTTCCAATCAGTGTATCAGAAGAAGCCTACTGGTAAATACCATCAGTTTTGTTCAGAACATAAAGAAGTTACACTTGAAGAAGTTGCCCAGTCATCTCCATAGAGCTTGGCTGTGGGATATATGTTACCCCTCAAGACACAAAGGAACTGTGCTACGTGGTGTTGAGCTGCTGCTAAATATGGAATCAGTTTATAATAGCAAAAGTCATGTCCAGGAAGATAGAGAAGGCCATGTGATATTTTTTTAAGATTTATTATTATTATTATTATTATTACTCATAGTGGCAGTTCACGCCGTCGGGATTATTATGACAGAGCATATGATCGAGGCTATGATGATCGGGACTACTATAGCAGATCATATAGGTAAGTTGTGATGTAGAAGAGCCAACTCTTCTGAATCTCAGTTGTGACATGATTTAAAGCTACACTATATTTGCATTTTAGCTTTTGTAAGAAATCCAGAGCTGGAGTTTAAAGCCGATTTTAAGGTTATATATGTCTTTCTAATTAATTTGTTGTATGTACTTAGTTTCTGTTCAAAAATTATTCTAGAATATAAATAGGGAGACATAAGTGATAACTTGGGATATGTTAATAAAGAATACATTTTCTTTTCAAACACTGAGTGTAGACCAACTGAATTCTCCGGTCTAAAGTGACAGCAGGAAAAAAACTATAACATAAATCTCAGTATGTTTTAAAAAGAGGTTTCATAAGCCATATTGGATTGGAAAGTCAGCCCTTTATAAAAGCAAATTTTTCTAAGGTGCCATGCACTAGAGGGCAACAGAAAAACTGATCGTTTTTGAAAGATTCCAGAGTATTAATTCATTTAAAGACATCAATTTAGTATTATAGTAAGTAGGTTTTTTATTGCCAAAAGTTGATATTTAGGGGTTTTAGTAGGGAGATGCCCATCATACTTGAAAAACAAAGATATCTTTGAGAGTACTTCCAAAGGTAAAAATGAAGTAAAAGTCTCTTTTAGCAGTGGTGGACAATTTAGACCTTCCCTTGTTAAAATATTAATTTATGTAGTTACTGAGTTTTGGCCACAATTATCCTTGATAACTTAGTGTGGTGTGGATGTTTTTTCCACATTATTTGATAATATTTTAAGAATTTTGATAGTTGACACTGTCACTATTTGGAAGTGAGTCCTTAAATGTGTTCTCAACATTAGCATTTTATCACTCAAAAAAATCCCTTTTTTCTTTCTGTTTTTGTTTTAAGCATCATTGTTTTGAGTGGAACTTAAAGGATTGATTTCTGGAGGCTGAGAAAAATTAAGGTCTTATGCTGATTTTTTAAAGTAATTCATTGAGGAGCATTCAGTTAAAAATGTTCTGTGTTCTAATGATACTCATTTTAGCCACCAGAGAGAGCTCTATGCCAGTTTGTGAAAAGAATGGCAAAAATGGCTCTTGATATCTTTACCCACAGGAAAGTAGGTATTACTCATGCTTTGCGGGAGTTTTTATTTTACTGAATAAATGATATAATTCTTTCAAAAACTGAATGTTACTTTTGTGTCTTCACAGAGGAGGAGGAGGTGGAGGAGGAGGATGGAGAGCTGCTCAAGACAGGGATCAGATTTATAGGTATGCCGGGAGAGGATTTAACTTCCGCACAGCAATAGAAAGCCTCATAAAAGATACTCACCTACTAATATTTTGGTAGTTATAAGTGGATTCACATAAAATTGGAATTCTTGGGGTTCATAAATACTCTTAAACTGAAGCTAAATGACTATAAAAAGCTTTGTGTGTTTACAAAAAATAATTTTTCAAGCCAGTCTTTCTTACAAAAAAATAAACCTACTTGAAGCATTAGTGAAATTTGGTTTGGATGTTATAGTCCATCAAAGTGTGGCTGAAGTTAATTCATGGTAAGGGAATTTTATTAAATGTACTTGACAAAATTTAAAAGGGGCCGGGCGCGGTGGCTCACGCCTGTAATCCTAGCACTCTGGGAGGCCGAGGTGGGTGGATCGCTCAAGGTCAGGAGTTCAAGACTAGCCTGAGCAAGAGCGAGACCCTGTTTCTACTAAAAATAGAAATTATTTGGACAACTAAAAATCTATATAGAAAAAATTAGCCGGGCATGGTGGCGCATGCCTGTAGTCCCAGCTACTCGGGAGGCTGAGGCAGTAGGATCGCTTGACCCCAGGAGTGTGAGGTTGCTGTGAGCTAGGCTGATGCGACGGCACTCACTCTAGCCAGGGCAACAGAGTGAGACTCTGTCTCAAAAAAAAAAAAATTTAAAAGGAAAGCAGATTAAAATAGAGCAAGCAATATTCAACCTCTCATAGCTTAGGAGAGTGCTTAATTGGTCCTTGGGCCTTACAAGGTGCTTCACTCTCTCAAGACTCAGACCTAGAAAACTCCATGACTAATGCAAGATTTTTGAAGGTTCACGAAGGCTTTTTTGGGAACTAATAAAGAGGGAAATGTATAATCATGTCATTTAGTCTAATTGTGATCTATGGAGACTTAGACAATCTTGACGTTTGTTTACAGAAGGCGGTCGCCTTCTCCTTACTACAGTCGTGGAGGATACAGATCACGTTCCAGATCTCGATCATATTCACCTCGTAAGTTTTTTATCTTGGTCCGATTTTTTATTTTTAGTAGTACCACTTGCTCTGACCTGCCAAAACATAGGCAACTATTCCTTTTGCAGATAATGGGTTAATTCATGTAGTTTTATCTGTTATATTCACACACATTCCAAATGTTTTAGGGGTTTAAGAAAGTTTACGAAAACAACCCTTAGAATCCTATTTTTGCTTTTAATTAAAATAGTAAATGTACAGACTATTAAATTTTAAGCTACTTTGAAAAATGACTTGTTTAAAACCTTAGCTCTCAGATTGAGTTATACTTCCCAGCTATTTCTATTATTTAACATAGGGTATCTCATTTCTAGTTTAACACTTGAGTAGAGGTCTTCCTGTGTTTCTCAGGAAAGAATCTGGTACATAAGACTTCCTTTTGGCAGAATGGTCTAGAATTTTCAACATTAAAGTACAGTTGATAACTAATTCCCTTAGTATTAAACCTGATGATGTGTTTTCTTCCTAGGTCGCTATTAAAGCATGAAGTTGAAGACTTTCTGAAACCTGCCCTAGAGCTGGGATATTGTTTGTGGACAATATTTTTTATTGTCTCGTTTAAAAAGTGAACAGTGCCTAGTGAAGTTAGGTGACTTTTACACCTTTTATGATGACTACTTTTGGTGGAGTTGAAATGCTGTTTTCATTCTGCATTTGTGTAGTTCGGTGCTTTGTTCAAAGTTAAGTGTTTTCAGGAAAGTATGTTTTGCATGTATTTTTTTACAGTCTAAATTTTGACTGCTGAGAAGTTTCTATTGTACAAAACTTCATTTAAAGGGTTTTCTACTGAATCCAGGGTATTCTGAAGATCGAAGCCTGTGTGTAAAAATGCTACCAAATGGCAAAAAGCAACAATAAACCGTTTGATTTTTACTTTTCTTTCTAATATGTCAATGCTTAGCAGAACTGTTCAGATTACATTGTCAGTAGTAAATTTAAAGACAAAATGCCCGTTTTCCTCCAGTCCATGAAACATACCATACTTAATACCTACAATTAAGTGTTAAAAATTATGCTCTGTAACTCTATACTGCTAGTATTAGAACTAAAAATCTTTCAATACAGCAAATGCTTAATGCTTATATAAATGTGGATTTGTCAGCCTTTATGTAATCTGTAATATATATATAGCAGGGAATAAGAAGAGTTACACAATGTATGCCTTAAAAGGCTATTCCTTAAAGTTGTTACAAGGGGATAATGGTATTTCAACTAGTTATCAGCAAGTGACAATACATTCCACCACAAATGTACTCTTGTTCTTCTAGCTTTTAGACTATATGAAAAAACTGGGTGCTTCAAAGTACGGGATAAGAGAAGGGAACACTACACCTGTGTCATGGATGAACTGAAGACTTTGCCTGTTCATTTTTTAAATATTATTTTCAGGTCCTTTGCTTACCAAAGGAAGCCCAATTTCACTCAAATGTTTTGAGAACTGTGTTTAAATAAATGCAAATGAAAAAAATTGGTGGTGCAACTCAGTTTACAAAGAAGTATTTTTGTTCTAACTTGGTTACCTGTAGTTAGTCTTTCTATAATTTAGTCCCTAATGCAGTGTGTTGCTAGAGAGGTAAATTTGCATATTTCTGGAAAATATATAGAGTGGGTAACTAGGTATTAGTGATCATCTCCATTTGGGCATGAAGTTAAATAACTGACCTCTACACATACCTTGAGGGTACCTGAAATGTATGTTTTTAGTATTAGTTCTTTTTCATTTAGGTAATTTTCATGATCAGTTCTAGGGATATTGCTATAGGCAGGTAATTTTGTTAGCCTGCTGACCTTTATAGTACTTACATGTCATTTAGTATGCCCCAGGTACTTTGTAAAGCACTTTACATATAATCTTCAGCAATCATATGATGTAAAGTGATTTACCTTAAGTCAAGTAGCCAATTTAAGTGGCAATGCCAGTATCTGAACCTAGGCAGTCTCAGTCTGCTCTTAATCATGATGCCATTCTGCCTCTAATCTGAGTAGCCAGATTGAAAATCTTGGTAATGGAGCATAGGCAGTATTTACAGATCCTAACTTGTAAAACTCACTGGGCAGGGTGTTTTAAATGCCTGCCAACTTTTGATAACGCGGCATACATATTGTACCCCTATGTGTGTGTATTTCCACACATGTGGAATTTAAGCATGTGGAATTTAAATACTGTATGCTTGCTGCATTTCAGGTCCTCAACCAGTAATAAGTGGCTGCTTAAATATTTGCATAAATTGAGTTTTAGAATGTGGTCTAGAAGGGGTTGGGTTACAGAGTAGCTTAAAGGCTGAGAAGTCTGGTCTTAGTGATGGTGTATTTGAAGGAACATGGTATGCTTATAGCTGTCTTACTAAGAGTTGTATTAATTTTCATATCCCTCAATCAAAGGATTAAAAATGGTGACCTTTACCTTTACACCCAGAATACAAGAGTATACAATGAATGTGAATTTACTAGGGAAGTGACATGATTAGATGAGGATGCTTAAATATTTAGTTCTCAACAGTGCCATAATTTGTGGCTACAATACTTATCCACGGTTTCAGTTATCCATTCAACCATTTAAATGGATATTTAATAAAGTAAAAATTAAATAAAAATATTAAATGGGAAATTCCAGAAAGCACATAATTCTGAGTAGTGAGTGAAACCTTGGGCCATCCTTGAGTCCTGTACGTGGAGTATCCCTTTGCCCAATATATCCAAGTTGTATACACTGCCTGCCCCGTTAGTTGCTTGGTAGGTGGTGTGTAGGTTATCAGATCAACTGTCTCTTAACAGTGTATGTACAGTTCACTACTATCCTCAGTTTTAGGCATCCACTGGGAGTCTTAAAAGGTATCTCCTACAGAGAAGGGGGGGACTACTTGCCCTTTCAGCTACCTTCCCTGTGATTTACAGTTATGGAACAGCGTCCTCTTGGTGAAACTGCATCTGACAATCAGTACTCCTACCCTGTTTCCTCCCATCCCTAACCAGTAACCAACCCGAAGTTTGTCCTGGGAATTGATACTGAATAGAGACTGGGACAAAAAGGTTGGAAGTAAAATAACAGTAATGGTTTGTGAGTTCTAGCTATAGGTAATCCCTGACATAACCCTGGGTTTTCCTGTCTTAAAACCTAATTTTTAGCTCTTTAATCCTGTAGCCTCCCTTAATCCTGCCAGTAAGTTTTTTTTAAAGCTAGTTTGAGTTGAATGTTCTGGCTTTTTTTGGATCTGAAAGAATTTTGAGTAATTCAGAAACTGCTACCAGCAGTATGTTAAAGGCAACAGACCTTGAAGAAAATTTGGAATTTTACAAGGTTGAGACAGGCTGAAGAGAAGTGAAACACCTTTCGTATTCTGGGATAAAGCAAGGAGTAGTCTGGTGTGCTGTGATGGTCATTACTGGGTTTCATGAAAGGAAAGCTCTGCTGGGGACCCCTGGGTAACTGCTGCCATAGACCAAAGTATCATAACCATGGGAGAGGATACGTCTTGAAATTCTTGCCTCAAGGCACAGGAACTCGGGGTTTTTATATGCCAGTATTGCTTACAGCTGCAACATTTACTTGCAGGATTGCTGAGTTAAAATAGTTCATAATCATACTAGTGTCTCATGAAAACACATTATTCAGGAAATATAAGTAGGGTCCCAACAGTTGGAACATGGCTACTTAGATTTTGTAGGAATGAATTTTGAGGATGGGTTATGCTAGATTTATTAATGCACAACAGCATTTTGCTTCAGCTTTCCACCTGAGATTTTTATTTCTGTGATTTGCTTGGCTATTTTAAGCCTGTGCTTAATGCTAGCTTATACCAGGTGGTATCAAAAGGCCAGAATGCTCTGGGGATAAAAAGATTCAAAGACTAAGAAGTGATATGAATGCTGAATGGTTCAATCTCTGTCCCACTCAACTCTTAGTATTGTTTTCTGACAGGATCCAAAATGCACCTTTTTCTACATGAGTAAAACCAATTGGTGAAATCAAGATTACTGTATTCAAGGGAGCTTTACTTGGCCTGGTAAGAGGAGATGAAATGGGAGACCCGGTGATGAGTAGTCATTAACCTCTAGAAGCTGAAGTAAGCAGGGATAATGAGCAGCAGCAGGATAGGTGTGTTAATGAGTGTTTTAAACGATTTGCCACGGGAATTTCAAGCCATGGTTAAGTAAATACTCGTTCACAGGAATAAAGTCAACAGACTGCTGTCCGATTGTATAAGTAAAAGGCCTCTGGGTCTTGTGAACGCAGGCCTGGCGCACAGGATCATACACATGAACCCTTTGAAAGAGAGGGCAGAAACCCAAAGTAAAGACCACATGTGCTATGATGAACCTTCCTAGCTTTACCAATAAAGCATTCTGCAACCATTTACCTATTTAGGTTTTGAATAAAGGCAAATAGCTAATCTTAACCCAGAAATAGCTAAACATCACTGGTTTTGACTGCTTGAGTGAGGCCTTTTACATGTGGGTTTTCTTCCACTTCTGCCACCACTGAGACAGCAAGACTAGCCTCTTCCTCAGCCTACTCAATGTGAGGGCAAGGATAAAGACCTTTATAATGATCCGCTTACACTTAATGAATAGTAAATTTTGATTTTCTTAATATTTTCTTTTTTCTAGCTTAATTATAAAAATACAGCATATAATACATATGACATTAAATGTGTTTGTCTTTGGCAAGGCTTACAATCAGCAGGCTGTTTGTGGTTTTGGGGGTGTCAAAAGTGACATGCAGATTTTTGACTGTAGGTGAGCACCCCTAACCCCTGTGTTCAAGGGTCAGCTATTGGGTAGTGGCTTGTAATTAAATGAATTATGGGAGCCAAGGGACACCGTCATAGATCGAAAGTCAGAACGGGGCTTAAGGGAGCTGCTGATAGTTGGGATTCTGACACCAGGCAGGCTTGGAACCTGGTACAACCTGTGGTGGCTTTACTAATTCCCCTCAACATCTAGAAGAATTCTCATAACCTTAGAATGAAGGCCAAAATGGAATTAGGACTCCTTCTCCTATTAAAATAGTACACAAAAGTCAGTATTACATCTTTGATTATAAAGATTAGGAATTCCAACAAAACTTGAAACATGAAGGTATGATTTTCCTGTCCGTTTATGTCTCCAGTTTGGCCAATGCATAAAACTGATGAATGTCTTAAGTGGTGATTTTAAACATGGATGCTAATTTAGATAAAGTTACATTATTGCCACAAATGTGGTCTCTGGCACTTGGTATTTGCTTGATCATCTAAAAATGTGTTCTTTTCATTCTGGTAAACAATAATGTCAGAGACAATGTGCATTTCTCTAGTAAGGATAAGTTTGCCACTCGTCTCAAGAATTTTCAGGTTACAGACGTTGGCAAGCTACACCCAATCAACAAAATCAGGCATGTTTCCTGTTTCTGTTTTTTGGAACACAGCTATGCCTGTTCACGTATGTATTGTGTATGTCTGCTTTCACACTACAATGGCAATACTGAGTAGTTGTGATAGACCATGTAGCACACAAAACCAGAAATACTAATTATCTGACATTTTACAGAAGAATTTGCTTAATCTAGTCCACAGGTACCTGAACCACCAATTCCACCTGAGCCTGGTTTATATTTATAGCTGGCTCTTTACCCAATATACCAGCATCAGCCAGAATCTGAAAAGAGAAGAGAAATCTTCCCAGTGAGAACTAATAGCAATAAAACTCATTGTCCTGGTCTGAAAAGTAGCCCAAGGGTTCACGGGCATCTCCTGGATAGTGTGTAATCTCATTATGTGATTAAAAGCTAGGAGTAGCAGGATAGTATTGGTAACAAGAAAGCAAAGGCAATGAACATACATCCTCAGTATGGATACCCACTCACCTAGGCTTAAATTTTACTATCACAACTGAGAGCTGGTCTTGCCAGTGATAATGGCCAACCCCAAACTCCAATGTGAAATGTACTTTGATGAGAATAACAATACAATAGTTAATATTGTTTCCTTTCTGAAGGAGGCAGTAATTTGTTCTCACTGGAAATAACATTCTGGATCTGCTTTCCTTGTCATACTTGTATATAACCTGCACATACCTGAACCACACAACTTGGCTTCTCTTATCAGTCAAGGTTCTCCAGAGAAACAGAACCAATAGGGTATGGATACATAATTTAAAGACATCTATTTTTATTCATTTTTTTGAGACGGCGTCTTGCTTTGTTACCTAGGCTAGGGCGAGTTGCCCTGGCGTCAGCCTAGCTCACAGCAACCTCAAATTCCTGGGCTCAAGCGATCTCTGCCTCAGCCTCCCTAGGAGCTGGGGTTACAGGCGTGAGCCACCACGCCCAGCTAATTTTTTGTTTCTATTTTTAGTTGACTGGCTAATTTTTTCTATTTTTATTAGAGATGGGGGTCTTGCTCTTGCTCAGGTTGGTCTCGAACTCCTGAGTTTAAGCGATCCTCACGCCTGGCCTAAGACGTCTACTTTTATATAGTTGACGTT